TAAAATAATGAGAAAAAAATTTCTTGGAAAGCTGCCTTTTGACCAAAGTAAAGCTGCCTTTTGACCAAAGTAAAGCTTTTCACTTAGATCTTAAAACCCTCAATTTCAATTACTTCAGATACCCCCAAACTTATATTCAAAATGGATTGTGAAGTAATGAGGGAGAAGAAGAAACTTAAGTGGTTAGGTTTAGAAGCCAGTTTGCTTGAAGGGAAATAATGTTTCCTGATTGCTGTTAATTAATAGTGGCATCAAAAAAAAAAAATCAACAGAACATCATTTACTACGTAAAGACTCAGCTGAACTGTGAATCTGTAACATTTTCTTTTTGCTATCCTTACGTAGGTTGTAATTCTATGAGAACAGGGACTACCATCTTTGTGGTCCCAGTGACTAGTTCAGTGCCAAACATGCATTTAATACATCTTTGCCAAATGGTTTAATAAAAAAAGATCCATATTCAAAATAAATCATCTATCATAACATGTATACAATTATCTATATAAACCAAGAAAGGTCATTAAGGAAAATAACAGCTCCAGAGAACTAGAACTTACTGCAACCTCCAGCTCCCTGGTTCAAGCAGTTCTCCTCCTGTCTCAGCCTCCTGAGTAGCTGGGATTACAGGCACGCACCACCATGCCCATATAATTTTTGTAGTTTTATATGGGGTTTCACCATGTTGACCAGGATGAATAATTAGCACTTTATCCAAGGAATCAGGTACCATTCTCTCTGAAGAGAAATGGCACGACTGATGTGTTAACAGAAGGAAACCATTCCCAAGGTCTGTCCTTGAGAGCAGCAATTCATTCACTGCTATATCCTCAATGCCTAGGACCGTGCCTGGCATAAAGTAGGAACATAATAATCTTCTTCCAAATGACTTAGCTGTAGTTCCAAATAAAAAGAAACTCAAGATTCTGACCTTTTAAACAGATTCACTTATGGTAAGCAAAGACACTAGTATGAACAACAGAGTGGTCAAAGGAAGGCTTATAAATAAAAGAACAAAGTATATCCTGTTAAGCAAACAAGCAGAAAAAAACTAAAAATTCCTTGATTTTTAAATGAGCGAAATGATTATATTCATATGTAAAAGTATTTAGGAAATTGAAAGTTATGTGTCAAAAAGTCTCTGCACCTTCTGAGAGTGGATATCAAAGTTTCACTTAAATAGACATCTAAGCATTTATGAGTTTTGAGTTGCTAACAGCACAGTACTAAAAATTCATTCTCTTTTGAAAAGTTTACTGCATGGAACTAGATAGAAGTAGCACTAGCAGGGCCGGGCGTGGTGGCTCACGCCTGTAATCTCAGCACTTTGGGAGGCCAAGGCCGGTGGATCACGAGGTCAAGAGATCGAGACCATCCTGGTCAACATGGTGAAACCCCGTCTCTACTAAAAATACAAAAAATTAGCTGGGCATGGTGGCGCATGCCTGTAATCCCAGCTATTCAGGAGGCTGAGGCAGGAGAACTGCCTGAAGCCAGGAGGTGGAGGCTGCAGTGAGCTGAGATCACGCCATTGCACTCCAGCCTGGGTAGCAAGAGCGAAACTCCGTCTCAAAAATAAATAAATAAATAAATAAAAATTAAAAAAAAGAAGTAGCACTAGCAATAAATTTTAAAAGTAGCATTAATAGGTATTGATACACAGTAACATGAAAATAAAGGTAACAGTTCCAGTAAAGTACATTTTTATTCTGCTTTTCTTATTTTTATTCCATTTTGCATATTGCTTAGTATCACATGACTTTCAACAATTATTTATCAATGAATGGATGTGTACCTGTAATTTATTTAATCAGTCTATTAACATGGGCCACCATTTTTTTACTTTCAAATGTGTCTTCTATATAAGATATGAAACACAATTTACCACCAGCCAATATTCGTAACATTCAAACTTTTCCCATCACTTCAACTGACAAGCAAAAGGGTATTAACCAGGCTGGTGTGGTGGCTCAAGCCTGTAATCCCAGCATTGTGGGAGGCCTACGCGGGTGGATCACTTGAAGTCAGGAGTTTGAGACCAGCCTGGCCAACATGGTGAAACCTTGTCTCTACTAAAATTACAAAAATTAGCTGGGCGTGGTGGTGCACACCTGTAATCCCAGCTACTTGGGAATCTGAGGCAGGAGAATTGCTTGAACCCAAAGATGGAGGTTGCAGTAAGCTGAGATCATGCCACCGCACTACAGCCTGGGCGACAGAGCAAGACTCCTTCTCAAAAAAAAAAAAGCAACCAAAAACAGGGTATTAACCAGTTATGTCTGTGTCTGTGTATATGTGTGTGTGCACGCAAAATTGTACATGCTTTGTGACAATGGGCGTTTCCAGGAGAACAAGGAGACAGAGAGACAGAGAACTAGAGTGATTTTTTAAAAAATTTCCTGAGAAACAATGACAAAAAAAACTTCAAACATTATATTTAGTCTTAATGCTGAATGGACCAATGCTTATAAACTTAAAAAAGCAAAAAACTGAAACACACAAAAGGAAAAATAAAAGTAATAAGGGCTGTAACAATCTACAAATGGAAAATGATAGTTTCAATTTTTAAAAGAATTTTCCAGCAACCTCACTTTCCTCTCTCAGAGTTTCCCAAAGTGGAAGGGACAGACTTTGCCTTCCCCACTTGGCAGATAAAAAAACAGGAGCAGAGACATTCAGTGTGATTTGCCTAAAATTACTGACAGAACCGGGAGTACTATTTCTACTTTCCTAAATCCTCCGAACAGTGCACCTTAAGAAAATACATAGAAGACTCACAAACACAAAGATGGAGTAACAACTATGAAAACGAGCATTTACTGTTTACAAAATTTCAAGGGAATGAAAATTTTAGAATACTTATTAAATCAAAATGGAAGATAATTAACATAAAAGCTGTACAACAAGCTTTTCTTAGCATTCTATTATAGTATTTATCTCCATAGCCTGCAAACATTAATCTACTTTGGGTACTTCTGAGTATAAACCATGAAACACATTTAAATGATAGAAAGGAGAGAAGATAAAATCATAAAAACAATAATCAGAAAACCTTCCATCATTGAGTATATTAATATATACCAGTACATTCTCTAGTAAATTTCTCTACCAGCTTCCCCAAGAAAGCTTTAACACTGAATGAATATAAAAACAAAACAAAATTTCATAAAATATGCTCTTTCTGGGGTACAGGGGGTGGGGAATGATTGACTTGGTAGGAGTGAATTCGAGTCAACAGTTAATAATCCAAGCCAAAGTCTAGACAAATGATGTTCTATTGGCTCGTGAATGGAAAAGAATAATTCAGTGATTAACATATTCCCCCACTCCCTAAACTATATTAAGCTGTCTTCTCCATATGTTTAGAATTTCCCTCAGGAAGCATTTAACTTCTGCAAAGGTCTTTCTATGCTCTTTCCTGTAAGATCATTGAACACATTTTTTTTTTTTTTTTTTTTTTTTTGAGACAGGGTCTTACTTTGTCAGCCAGGCTGGAGTACAGTGGCTCAATCATGGTTCAACCATAGCTCACTGTAGCCTCTACCTCCTGGGCTCAAGTGATCCTCCTGCCTTAACCTCCCAAATAGCTGGTCATGGGCCTGGCTAATTTATTTTTTGTAGAGACAAAGTCTCATTATGTTGGCCAGCTGGTCTTGAACTTCTGGCCTCAAGCAATCCTCCCACCTTTGCCTCCCAAAGTGCTAGAATTACAGGCCTAAGCAACCATGCCCAGCTCCTGTAAGGCCCTCAAGAATATAACACTAGGAACTAAAGTTGGAACTGGATAGGTTGCTCTGACGAAGGAGAATTTGAGGTCTACTGAAAGGATAGTTCCCTGCGTTCATAATACAACCACAAGTGTATATGAAAAGTCATCAATATTTTTCCATTCCACTACTCCCTGACATAACAAAACTAAATATTTACCAATTCTAATATTTTGATAACTGTACTTGGCTATTCATAATACTAAAACAATAGGGAACTACCCAAATAAAGCAAATTTGAAATGGTTTAAGTCTGCAGGCATGGTATAATTTATTTATTTACTTATTTTTATTATTATTTTGAGACGGAGCCTCGTTTTGTTGCCCAGGCTGGAGTGCAGTGATGTGATTTCAGCTCACTACAACCTCTACCTCCTGGGTTCAAGCAATTCTCCAGCCTCACTCAGCCTCCCAAGTAGCTGGGATTACTGGGTGTACCACCACGCCTGGCTTATTTTTTGTATTTTTGGTACAGAGGAGATTTCACCATGTTGGCCAGGCTGGTCTTGAACTCTTGACCTCAGGTGATCCACTACTCACCTTGACTTCCCACAGTGGTGGGATTACAGGCATGAGCCACTGTGCCTGGCCTAAAAAAGCTAGTTTATGTAAACTGATCTGGTTATTTTCTATTATTAAGGCTCATTTAGATACTAACAGTTCAGTAACAACTGAAAGAATTAAATTCTGTTGCTTTATCAAATATTAAAATATGCTGATCCAAAAATAGCGAGTGCCAATTTTAAGCGAATTCTTGCTACAAAAAATGAACAGCATTATTCAAAGCAGTTACTCTGAAACATAAAAAATATTCTGAAATATAAAATATTTAAGGACATCATTTTAAAGATAAATTTATTTCAAAGCTTTTTGTTAAATATACCAATATGATAGTATCCTAGTCAGAATTCAGATTTCATTTAGTTTTTTTTTTTGGGGGGGGGGTCAGAATCTCACTCTTGTCACCCAGGCTGGAGTGCAATGGTATAGTCTCAGCTCACTACAACCTCCACCTCCCTGGTTCAGGTGATTCTCCTGCCTCAGCCTCCCAAGTAGCTGGGACTACAGGTACATGCCACCACACTCGGCTAATTTTTGTATTTTTAGTAGAGACGGGGTTTCACTATCTTGGCCAGGCTGGTCTTGAACTTCTGACCTCATGAGCTGCCCACTTCGGCCTCCCAAAGTACTGGGATTACAGGTATGAGCCACTGTGCCCGGCCTCATTTAGTTTTCAAAGTCAACCCAACTTGTGGCTAAGATATTTTAAAGTTCAATAAACCTGTTACTGTATCCTAAAACTGCTTACTTTAATACAATCAGAATGAGGTGACATATTCTTGAAACGGTAACAACATATGCTCATTGTAAAATGTTTTAAATAATTTAATAAACAGAAAATGTCAGAATGAAGTAAATAAAATATGTAGTAACAGATAATTTTGTGATTATTAGGATGATTATATAGCTACCTTAGTGTATCTGAATGGATATTTTAGCTATTCTCACTGTTTAAAAACCATAGATTTCGCCGGGCGTGGTAGCTCATGCCTGTAATCCTAGCACTTTGGGAGGCTGAGGTGGGTGGATCACCTAAGGTCATCAGGAATTCAAGACCAGCCTGGCCATCATGGAGAAACCCCATCTTTGGGGGGAGGGGGGAAAAAGAAGAATTTTTTTTTTTTTGAAATTTAAATTAAACAAAACAAAACAAAACAAAACAAAAACCACAGATCTCAAGATGAACTTTAATTCACTGACGTTTATAAACAATGCAGTTTTCAGGCCTGTTTTCACAATAAACTTTTGTAATTATAAATTGATCTAATAATACTTAGTATTGGGTAATTTATTTCAAATAAGATTATAATGAACCTATTAACAAATGAAGCAAAAGGTAAAAGTGATTAACTGAACTAATAAATATTTCTTTATACTTAGGTCCAATAAGTCCCAAGACTTTTAGAGAGAATGTAGTATAGTAAAACTGAAAGAATACCCCTCAAGAAGACAGATTCTTGGGTTCTAGAGGATCCCCCCGACAAATAACAATGAGCAAGTCTCAATTTCTATAGTCCTTAGATCCCTCAAATATAAATTTGGGAAATTACTTTACCTGCCTAAAGTAAGCTGAGGCCGAACCAGATAATCTCTTGAATAGTAAGATTCCATAAGGGACTAAAAGTACAATCTTGCTTCTGAAATTTGAGATATTATCAAAAGCTCTCAACAACACCGTGGACTGAGCGCATGGGCCTTAACTCCAGGGTTTGCAGGTAGCTTGGGGGAAGGAAGACTGGAAGTGGGGCCTGAATTTATCCAACCCACATAGAATGAGAATTCCAAGGCAAAAACAATAATAATAATAATAATAATGATAATAAACTCAAATATCTATAGGGATTAATGAACACTAAAGACAATACTTCAAGTGTTGGGAAAAAGGGATTATTCCCCTTTTTGGGAAACATGTTGGGACAACTAGATAACCTTCTGTTAAAAAACAAAACCCCATCAAATTTGGACTCTAATTTCACATCTTAAAGCAAAATCAATTTCAAATGGAACTAAAAACCTGAAACTCTTCCTATGCAACAATTTTGCATGTTCTTCATATGTACCCCAAAACCTAAAATGCAATAAAATAAATAAATGGGGAAAAAAAAAAAAGAAAAAAGAAAAAAACAAAAAACCTGAAACTCCAGAAGTACCAAAGAAACTACAGATTTTAAAAAACATTTTAAAAGTGCATAAAGTCTTTAAATATAATACATAACTTAGCAGCCATAAAATAAATTTGAATACATACAACCAAAAATTTGTGTGGTTCAAAAAAAAAAAACCCCATAAATAAGTAAAAAGACCTCTCTGAAGGGCAGTTTGGAGACAAGTATCCAAATTAAAAATGTCCATACCCCAAGCCTCAGTAATTTTATTTCCAGGAATTTACTTTATAATCATAATTTTACACACGTGTAAAATGACATGTACATGAATATTGCAGCATCATGCAATAACAGGAGATTGAAAACAAATGTAACAGTGGACTGTTCAATTATGACTTATTCATATAACAGACTATTATGCATGTATTCAAAAGAATAAGATGGCTCTTTATACTGCTATGAAAGGCTCTTGTGATATTAAAATATTGTGAAGGGCATGTATAGGATACTATAATTGGTGTGGGGGTGGGGGAGGAAGATATCCACATGCCTGTACTTGCACCCAAAATAGCTCTGGAACAATATGTAGACTGGTCCTTTGCCTCTTTGGAAGGGAACAGGGTGGCTGGGAGTAGTAGTGGGAAGTAGACTTATTTTTCACTGTAGAGTATATCCTTTTGAATTTTCTATCTTGGGCACGTATTACCTAATTTAAAAATCATTGTTTTAAATTACGTGAGGCCCTATTTTGCAACATACCCAAACCACTTTACAGGACCACTTTTACAACCTAGGGCTCATGGAATTTTACATGAAATACTCCAAAATAAAAAAAAGTAACTACTGAAGATAGTAAGTTCACAATAAAAAATATAAACTACACGAAGAAACAAGCCATCATGGAGGAGTGAGCACATATAACAGATAGGAGAACTGGCATCCCAAGAATAAATAGAAGCAGATTAAAGAACTAAAGTAAACTTGCTTAAAATTATTAAGAAATGGTACAGGCCGGGCGCGGTGGCTCAAGCCTGTAATCCCAGCACTGTGGGAGGCCGAGGCGGGTGGATCACGAGGTCAAGAGATCGAGACCATCCTGGTCAACATGGTGAAACCCCGTCTCTACTAAAAATACAAAAAATTAGCTGGGCATGGTGGCGTGTGCCTGTAATCCCAGCGACTAGGAGGCTGAGGCAGGAGAAGCCTGAACCCGGGAGGCGGAGGTTGCGGTGAGCCGAGATCGCGCCATTGCACTCCAGCCTGGGTAACAAGAGCGAAACTTCGTCTCAAAAAAAAAAAAAAAAAAAAAAATGGTACATAAGATTAAGAGACATTAAGAACAGAATGAAACCCTAACGTATCTATTAAGAGTTCCAGAGGAAGGAACAGAGATAATGGAGGAGGCACCTGAAAAAGTTAATGGCAAATTTTCTGAAAAAAAGGACAACATATCCACATACTTGAGTAGAGTAGAGTTTGGTACATAGTAAATCACATCAAAGCTACACCTGAACAAATCCTAGTAAAAGAGCAGAACCCCAAACACAAAAGGATCTCAACTACAATCAAAGGGAACAAACAGATTATTAAAAGTAAAGTCAAACTACAAGCTGACTTCTCACCAAGTGGAAGACAGTGGCATAATGCTACTGAAGAGCTGAGGTAAAACAAGGTCAATCTACAATTTTTTTTTTTTTTTGAGACAGGGTCTCACTTTATCACCCAGGCTGGAGTGCAGTAGTGTGATAATGGCTCACTGATCTTCTGGAGTCAAGCAATCTTCCTAACTCAGCCTCTTGAGTAGCTGGGACCACAGGTGCACACCATTATGCCTGGCTAATGTTTTATATTTGTGTAGAGATGGGGTCTTGCCATATTGCCCAGGCCAGTCTTGAACTACCGGGCTCACGCAGTCCTCCTACCTTGGTCTCGCAAAGTGGCATGAGCCACTGTGCCTGGCCCAATCTACAATTTTACATTCTAAACCCAAACTATTATTCCTGAGTGAGGACAAATAAAATTTTTTTTCCTGCCAGTGAAAAGCTACAGGACACACCTCACTAAAATAAAAAGTGAACTCCAAACAAAGAAATGAGATGCAATAATCAACAGTGAATTAAAGAATGATAACTATGTTGGTAAATTTAAACAGGACTATTTTAAAAAGATGATAATTTTACCAATTTGGGGGTGAAGTTTGAAAAAAATGCAGTAGAACTAAAGTCTAATAGTGATACTGTGGAAAACAGGATGAAGGAGGAATCAGAGTTAAAGCTTTCCAATGAGGGCCTAAACATATGATGTAGGGGATACTACCATGTTTGTAGTCACAGCACTTTTGCATATTTATTAAGAAATAATCTGTCAAATGTCAGAAAAGTATCTTAAATAGGCAGCTTTCTCTAATTCACACTAAAATGATGTTTAACTAAAATTCTTGTATTGTTCAGAAGAATAGGATAGTCATCCAAAGCAAAAACCAACGGAAATCACCAAAAGGACAGAAATAGAATACGTCTAAATCAACAGAGGAGAGAAAGTGGAAGAAATAAAAAAATCAACCTGAGATGGAAGAATAGTAGGAAACGAGGCAAAGAAAAGTAAGGTAAAGAGAAATCATAAAAAAAGATGATAGAAACCTAAATATACCAGTAATCATGAAACATATACACTAATTAAAGGACATAGTACTAATATTAGATTTAATAAAAAAAATCCAGCTATATATCATTAGTGTGAGAAAAATAAAACAATACAGATTGACTAAAAATAAAGGGATAGAAAATTAAATGAAACACTGTATTAATACTAATCAGATAAAGGCTGAAGTCAAATCTGAAAATCAAGTGTTAAAGATGTTTCTAATATGATCAGTTCTAGATCTACTGTTAGATGGCTTTGCTCAGTATGGTAAGCATAATAATCATCTTGCTTCAGAACATTTTTGTTTTGAGACAGTCTTACTCTGTCACCCAGGTTGAAGTGCAATGGTGTCATCTCAGCTCACTGCAACCTCTGCTTCCCAAATTCAAGTGATTCTCCTGCCTTAGCATCCCAAGTAGCTGGGATTACAGTTATGTGCCACCATGATCTGCTGATTTTTGTATTTTTAGTAGAGACAAGGTTGTACCATGCTGTCCAGCCTAGTTTCAAACTCTTGACCTTATGATCTGCCCTCAACTGCCTCTCAAAGTGCTGGGATTACAGATGTGAGCCACCACGCCCAGCCCTGCTTCAGAACATTCTCATACCCAATCTTTGTATGGCTGGCTCTGTCACGTTTTTGCTTAAATGTCAAGCCCTTTTTCTCGACAATCTAATATTTTTTAAAAAAGGTAACCTTGCTTAGCCACTTAATCTAATAAAGTCCTTTGTCATCCTCTATTCCCATTCTATTAATTTTTATAGCATATTTAATTACAGGTAATTACATATTGAAATTCTTGTTTACTGCCTGTCTTCTATAATAGACTATTAACTCCATGAGGATAGGGACACATCTGTTTTGAAGACGCAGTTAACTCCATTTCTCATATCTTGGTTTTTTTTTGTTTGTTTTGTTTTTTGAGACAGTCTCGCTCTGTAGCCAGACTGGATGCAGTGGTGATCTTGGCTCTCTGCAACTTCCACCTCCCGGGTTCAAGCGATTCTCCTGCCTCAGCCGCCTGAGTAGCTGACACTACAGGTGCAAACCACCATGCCCAGCTAATTTTTATATTTTTAGTAGAGACAGGGTTTCACCAAGTCAGCCAGGATGTTCTCGATCTTTTGACCTCGTGATCCGCCAACTTCGGCCTCCCAAAGTGCTGGGATTACCAGCCACCGTGCCTGGCCCCTCTTTCTCAGTATTTAAAAATGGGCTGGAATCCTATTATTAAAGACCCTGAGACTGGATATAGGCTCCAAAAGAATACGGGAGATATACAGTCATATATGTCATGGGTGCACAGGGAAAGGAGTGGCCTATGTGAGAGTGCTGAAAAAAATGACTGAAAGAAGTTGAGTGGCTAATTCCAGATGTTATTAAATCCACTCCTTTCTTCTACCCCGAGTAACAGCTTCTGGTTTCAAGCTATCCTTTTATAATTTGTCTTAGTATTTAACACAAATACAATTCCCTCCAAGATTAAAAACAATGGGATGATGATTCCATTCTACTTGTTATAATGGAAATAAGAAGCAGAAATTGGAGCAGAATATAAAAATTCATCAGGAAACTTAGCTAATCCTTTTATCTCACTGGTAGGTAATAGATGCATATGGGCATTAGCTCAAACAACAAAGCCAGTTGGCTTCAAAGCAAGAAGCTGGGATAAGAGGTGGGTAGTGTCAACTTTAGGATATCCATGAAGAAGTAAAGATTGGGTCTGGTCTTTTTGTTGGAACTCTGCAAACAGAGTTTGCAATTCTGCAAACTAAAGTGTTAAGAGTGAACATATTGAAGATAAAGTTGAAAATGAAGTATTTGTCCTCCAAGGTACATGTGTTCTTTTCCCCAACCTCCTAAATATTAGGTATCTCATGGGGTTCTTCTTATGTGACTTTTTTCGTTCAGTGGAATTTAAAAGATAAGTCGGAAAAAACATAGCTTCAGTGTATGTCAAAGAATACTCTACCTGGAATAAGGGAGCAGCAGTATATCTAAGTTTCAAGAATGTGAGATAAACTATCAAAAACGTCACATTTTTTGCCATTCCAAAAATATAAAAGCACAGTTTTAGTGAAGTTCCATTGCAATATTAAATTGTTAAAAATTATACTAGCTATTTAAAATTATACTAGCTATTTAAGTCTTCAAAACTTATGATTCTGTAAACATGCGAAGCTGAATAGACCATGTTGTGATACAATGTGAAGGACTGAAGCTAGGTAAACCCGGATTTAATTTTTAGTGTTGCTACCTACTAGATATGTCGCTTTGGGCAAATCTCATAGGGCTATTTGCAATTTAGAGACACTAAGCTCATCAATGAAGCTTCCTCCTCCTTCTCCTTCTCCTCTGATCTTTACAATCAATGGTGTTTTCAATAACGCTCTGGGAAGACAGAAATACTCTGTAAGGCGCCTTGTTAGTGCTGTAGGTGGCATGCCAATCTCACAATCTGAAAAAATACAAAGTGTACTGTCCAAAATGGTAGCCATGGTGGGGCTGAGCATTTTATATGTGGCTAGTGTTACTAAGGAACTCAATTTTTAATTGTATCTAATTTTAATTAATTTACATTTAATTAGCCACTTGTGGCCACTATTTTGGGCAGCATAACATAAAGCCATGAAAGCATGTTTTTTTTTTTCTTTTTTGAGACCGAGTCTTGCTCTGTCGCCTAGGCTGGAGTTCAGTGGCGTGATCTCGGTTCACTGCAACCTCTGCCTCCCGGCTTCAAGCGATTCTCCTGCATCAGCCTCCTGAGTAGCTGGGATTATAGGCACCTGACATCATACCCGGCTAATTTTTTTTGTATTTTCATAGAGACGGGGTTTCACCACCTTGGCCAGGGTGGTCTCGAACTCCTGACCTCAGGTGACCCACCCGCCTCCACCTCCCAGAGTGCTGAGATTACAGGTGTGAGCCACTACACCCAGCAGAAAACATGTTTTTATGAGGGTTTAAATCCTTGGATTTATGGGAACCAGGGAGGGTATGAAGAAAAACAACAGCCCACCGAGGTGGCTCACACCTGTACTCCCAGCACTCTGGGAGGTGGAGGCGGGTGGGCCACCTGAGGTCAGGAGTTCGAGACCAGCCTGGCCAACATGATGAAACCCCATCTCTACTAAAAATATAAAAATTAGCCAGGCGTGGTGGCATGTGTCTGTAATCCCAGCTACTCTGGAGAGGCTGCGGCAGGAGAATCACTTGAACCCAGGAGGTGGAGGGTGCAGTGGGTAGAGACTGCACCACTGTACTCCAGCCTGGGCAACAGAGTGAGACTTCGTTAAAACAACAACAACAAAAAACAACAAAAATAACAGGAAGATTCTCTACAAGTTGTTCTTGTTGAGTTAGAAAAATAAAAGATTCTCTACAAGTTTATCACAGAATGCAGTTCACTAGAAATGGTATAGATCAGCTTTGTGGTAACATATGCCTGGATTTACCAGATATATGTGTGATCCAAGCCAATTTACCTAAAATACCTAAACCCCAGACTCCCCACGTAGAACAGGAATACTTACCAACTTTACAGAGGAATTATGAAGATAAAAAGTTAATGGATCTGATATAGTAGATGCTTAACAAATCTGGTTTTCTTTCCCCTCCCAAATTCACTGCTTTTTACATGACCAAACTTTCCTCATATGATGGCCAAGTGCCTGACCTGTTACTAAATCTAATATTGACAAATATAGCTAATGCCAACTGTTTGCCAAAATGCGTTTTCGCCACCAAACTATCTTGTGAATATTTAATTTTTAAGAGCCTGAATTCTAAAAATGTGTGATTAAAAATAAGCGTATGTTCAGCTTTATGGAAAAGTTTCACAAAACAAAATTTAATCCTAAAACTACTACAGTATTGTGAAATGAGAGTGGATATTGGCTAGGCATAGAAACTAACAATTACTGCTTCTGAATTATTCTGCTACAAAACTGCTTAATTTATTTGAGGATGAAAATAAAAATTAAAAGCAAAACTGAACTTGTATCTGTTTTATAGTCAGAAATCTGGCTTTAAGATTTTTTGAAAAGTACTACTTGTTACATTTTCCATTAATATGAAATAACATGTTATAAGCCCATAAAATGATCTTTAAGGTTCCTTTCAATAATAAAATATTCAAATATCTGTCAGGTTGTTGAGCAACTGTAGAATAACTGGATATCACTTTTAGGCTGTTAATCAGAACCTAGTAACTGGCAGAAACTAACCTAAAACTGACTTCTCCATGGTAATCTCAGGAGCCTCCCTCAATGCACATACCATACAAAAGCAATCTACCACCTATGACTCTTATACATTTTTTTTTTTTTTTGATACAGAGTCTCAGGATGTCGCCCAAGCTGGAGTGCAATGGCACGATCTTGGCTCACTGCAACCCCCATCTCCTGGGTTCAACCAATTCTCCCTGCCTTTGCCTTCTGAGTAGCTGGGATTACAGGCACCCACCACCAGGCCTGGCTAATTCTTTTGTATTTTTAGTACAGACGGGGTTTCGCCATGTTGGACAGGCTGGTTTCGAACGACTGACCTCTGGTGATCCGCCTGCCTCGGCCTCCTAAAGTGCTGGGATTACAGGTGTAAGCCACTGTGCCCGGCTTTAATTTTTAATTTCTATCACAGAACAAACATTTGCCAGTGGAGACTGCCAAACTGTTTCTATGACTGTCTCTCCTAGCTATTTTCAGATACTGACAAGGCATAATGTGTGAGGACTAATAAGATTCTTTGTACTAATATACTTTGTTTTCTTCAGTGGCAGTTCAGACAGAGGGTACAAAAGCTGATCTTTTAGCTGGTTCAAGTCTGTATTAAAAATTTAAACCTGTACAGGATTTCTAATCACTTAACACATTTTCCAATGGGGAAGAAGCTTGTACTAGGTATAAAATGCTGTGTAAATCCTTGATTTAAAAAAGAATTTACTTAATTTGGCCTGTTTAAATATTGTACTTTGGCCCTAGTCTCTTGTCCCACTTGTGCTTAAGTAAACAAAAATGTATTAACCATTTCAGCTGATGTAAGTAGGCAGGCATCTTGTGTTCACATTTATATAATCAGAAGCAAAAACTTTGTAAGCTATGTATTTACTTGGTTGGACTGAATGTGTATATATATACAGAAGTACAGACAACTAAGAAATAAATTACGTAATTCACACAAAAAATCTCCTATTTCTTATCCCTATTCCAATGAACAAACTACAAACCAAAGCACTTCTAAACTATCTTCCAACTACCAAGAACTGAAACCAGAAGTATATATTTGTATGTGTCAATAAATCTCATAAATTCACAGATTAAATGAAGGACAAAACCAGCTTATTTCCAGACTGCCAACCCTATGATTTTAAGGCTTGCATGTACTCTCTCCAATAACAGGTCACTTTAGGTCTCTAATTTAATTATTTATTCTTATTGTAGTCACTTTTTTTTAAAGCTTAGTATGTTGCTCAACTGCATGATATACCAACAGGTTCCATGAGTCTGAAGTTTATTAGCATAAGCCAAAATGTATGCTACAACCACACTGTAAAAGAAGGGCTTCTAAATCAACTACCCTACACACAGTTCTCTGAAAACAAAGTTCTAAAAATCTTTAACTTGCATCGTACATGGGGGGTATGAATCTATAGCTCTTCTAAGTTTTTTCTTCCCAGTTCTGCTAAGTGAAAACAAAAGTCATTATCAACGTGTACTTGAAAAGACGAAAAAAAAAGAAACTAGAGACACGCCTGCTGGGTATAAGAGCTCCACCCCCAAAACTCAGGGCGAATATCCTTACCAGTCCTATAATAAGATCTGCATTCTGGTCTGTCCTCATCCGACATACCATGTTAATCATGGAAAGCATCAGCTAAAACTGGTTTAAAAAAGAGTCCGAGGTATTGCTCATACGCCCCGACTTCAGAGACTGGAGGGTTGGGATTTTACATGACCCTAAACGTGGCCTTACGGAGAGTAATAGAGAGAGGGAAAAAGGAGATCAGTGGCAAAAAAAAAAAAAAAAAGAGAAAGGAAAAGAAAGCTGTGAATTACAGAGCCTAAAACTTTAGTTTAGGTCCCAACTTCAGAAATCTCCCTTCCCTTCCCTGCTGCCCCACCCATCCCAGGAATCGGTTGACTCAAGAAAGGTTTAGGGACAGCGTTGACCGGTGACAACTATAGCGATTTTAAAAAATCCAGCAAAAAAAAAAAAAAAAAAAGAATGCGGGGGGGAAAGGGGGGGAAAAAGGATGAACGTTGAGAGCTGGTCGCTGGGGCGCCACCAGGGACCCCTGGTTTCGGGGCAAGAGCTGGAGGTGTACGCAACTCGGGGGAGGTGTGTGTGTGTAGGGGCGGGCCGGGCCTTCTCAGGTGCGGCGGCCGAGGCGCGTGGGTCCAGGCGACGAGAAGGCTGGGCAAACTAACCCGGTGCCCAGAGGCCTCCCCGTCCGAAGGGGGTTGTGCTTGAGCTGCAGGGGGTCCTTCCCCTCCCCTTCCAACTCCTCACCCGGGCCGTAGAACTTGCTGCCTTTGGTCACGTCGAAGACTTTCCCATTGACCGCCAGCAGGATGCGCGGGTTGCGGGACCCGTCGTACTGGCGCAGCTGCTCCAAGCTGAAGTCCCGCTTCTTCATGCGAGGCAGAGAGGCGGCGGGGCTCTCCTCGCCCGACCCGGCCCCGGCTCCCAGACCCCGCCGCCCCCAGCGCACCCACAGCCGGTAGGCCCCCAGCAGCACCAGCGCCACCAGCGCCACGTTCAGCAGCATCTCCCCGCCCCCCGTCAGAAGAGCCAACGCCGCCGCCGCCCAGCCGCCCCCTTCCGCTGCCGCTCCCGCGCCGCCCGGGCTCTCGCTGCTGCCGTCGCTGCTGCTCTCGCTGCCACTCCCCAGGGTGCCTAGCTTCACGTCCCCATCACCCGCCGCCATCACTGCCCGCCAGCGCCTTCCTCCTCCTCCCCGCCCCCTGCCCTCCCCAACACCACGGCCGGCCCCGCCCATCTGGGGGGCCTCCCAGCCAATAACATGAGGAGGAGGGGCGGGGTCAGGTCGGATCCTGATTGGGTGTTGACGGGGTAACGTTGTCTTGGATCTCTCCGGTCCCCGCCTTCGGTCGCAGGCCGCGCTCGCGTGCAACGCCCCGCCTACCTCGCACCACACTTCCCTGCTCTCGCTCCAAGCCTCCCCTAGGTGAAGTAGAAGAAGGGGCGGGTCTGAAGAAAAGCTATGACGGCCGCGCGCGCACGCTCATGGGCGGGGCGAGACCACAGCGCGTGCGCGAGCTCCTGAGCGCCACGCGCTCTCTTCTCCGTAACCCCTGCGGGAGGTACGCCCCGCCCAGTCTCCTGTGTCTGCGCGTGCGCCCGGAATCGCTTTCCCTCCCAGGCTTGATTTCGCGTGTGCAATCTCTTGCCGTCTTGCGCTGGCCCCTCCCGGGAGCTTCACGAGCGCCTTGGCGGGACGCCTGGCGAAGGGCGCGGGCAGGTGGTTTGTGGGAGGCTGGGGCACAGTTGAACTGCAAGGCGCAAACCGATGAGGGGTATCTGCTTTTCCCCAGTGCGCCGTCGCTCGTGTCGGGAAACCGGCAGCGTGGGCGGGCAGACCAGGAAACGGCGAGAAGTTTTGGCGACGAGCTGGAGTCTTCCTGGAACAGAGAGAAAGCGCGGAGCCCGCAGCGGGCTTCTCTGGCATCGGCAGTCTACGTGCTGCTCACGCTGGCTCGCTGCTCTTGTGGAATTTTAAAGGATTTAGACGAAGGGTCTCGTTATTTCTTGAATCATAATTTCTGCCGCCATAGGGAAGTGGACAGGTTGAGGTGGTCTTTCTATTTATCATTCACTCTTATTTTCAGCTTTTGTTTTATGTACTTGGGAAGTCTTTAACCTCTCACGTCTTTAAAATTCCGGTGTGAAAGTGACCCCTGAAGCCTCATGCACTCAACTCGTTTGACGTGTTCTCTCTTGCCCTTGTCTGTTGTCTTGAGTCTCATAGCATATGTTTGAAACTTTCACTGTCGGTTTTGGAGGAGCCACTGTGGATATTGACGGGGCAAGTGACAGGATCGTCAGGCTTGTAGAGAGATTATATAGCAACCAGGTGTCTGAAAGATTCGAGGCAGGGGAAAGAGTGGGAAAGCAGTTCGTAGGCTAGGGTATTTGTGCGTGAGGTGACACGCAAAGCTAGTGGAGGCATTAGAGCAGGGGTTAGCAAACATTTTTTGTAAAGAGCCAGATTATATTTTAAGTCTGTCTAAAATACTCAACTCTACCTTGTAATAAGAAAGCAGCCATAGACAATGAATGAGTGTGGCTGTGTTCCAATAAAACTTTATGGACGTCGAAATGTTAGTGTAATTTCAGGTATCATGAAATATTATTTTGATTTAAAAAATCATTTAAATATGTAAAAACTTTTTTTTTTTTGGCCTTGGAGGTGTGTAAAAACAACTTGTAAGCCATATTGCTGAGCCCTGCATTAGAGGTACTTGAAGAGTGACACAATTGGTGATAAGTGACCATATATTCTATCCTTCAATATGGAACACTTTTGGAAGTAAACAGGGCATTAATAATTATAGCCAGAGAAGAGGAATTATTAAATCAATTTATATCAGGCAAACCTAAGTGAATGGTCCCTAAGGTTAAGGGTTAGGAGAAGTCAAAATTGCTTTAGGACTTGGTAACAGAAAATGGGAGGTGCCAGTGTTGGAAGTAGGAAGATAAAGAAGAAACTGGTTTTGAGGAGAAGATAGCTATAGCAGTCCCAAGAGCCATATACAATTGGGACAGCATTAATAGGAAGAAAGAAAGCACCCAGAACCAGGCCACTCCTTATATCTTATTGACCAGAACTGGGCTATTAGCTATCCCTAAAGCAGTAACAGACAAGGAGTATGGGACATCCATGATTACCTAGTGTTTATCTATCTGGCTTTTCCAGTTCTTATGCAGGACCGTGTTGGGCGTTGCTGGACATTCAGCATCTCTGGTTCCTTCCAACTAAATATCAGTAGCACATCTCAGGCAGTGTGACACCGTAAAGCAGCCCATTTCCTCTCCTCCCCCCAGAGGTGTGATGCTTGTTGAGAACCACTGGCTTAGGCTCTCAGGATTTACTTTGGGGCTGAATTATGTGTGTGTAGATTTCTTTTCCAATTGGTTTGGAGGGAAGAGAGGAATTGGACAGTATTAAAGTTATGTTGTCACGGAAGTGGGGTGGAGAATGTTAGCTAACCAACATTGGCTGCCACGGAAGTAAAAAGTTTTCCTTTATACCCTTGCTAAAATAAATCTCCCGACTTCTTCACAGTTGAAGGCTTCCCAAAACCGGAGCTTTTTTGGATTCTCATTGTTTGCCCCTTGAACTGGGCTAGTTGGGAGTTCTTATTTTCCACTCTAAGTAACAATCTCTTGTCCCAGTAGGATACTCCTGCTTTGAATACCTCAATAACTTTGCAATTGGTGACTTGTCATCAGTTTTCTCCTACTTCATTCCTATACAAAGGGACTAGACCTGTGTTCTGATTTCCCTTGCTGAGACACCAATCTCCAGGGGTGCTCTGTAATGTAAAGAGAACATTTCAGAAAGTTCAATTGGCACTCAAGGGCCTCCATAAGTCCCTGAATGGCTTCCCTGCCTTCCCCTTCTGCAGCAAACAATTCCTTGGATACTCTCTATTAAATGATACATTTCCCCTGATGATACCTAGTCCCTTGCCCCGTTTATGCTATGTGCATTTTCCACTCTAGGACTTGGCTCATGCTGTTTCCTCACTGAGAGTACCCTTCTCATTTCCAGCCACACAGTTTCCATTAACTTCCCATTCTTTCGCTTAATTCTACCTCCACCCAAGGCCTCTAACTGTATCAGCCCACATTAACCTGTCTTCTTTGAATTTCTATGTATTCCTTGCCTATGCCATCCATTTTGGCCTTTTATTTTATGTTCTTGACTTTTCTGTTACTGAAACTGTCCTTTGGATCCCAAGATTTCCCCTTATCCTCTGTGAAGGCTCTTTTTTTGGACTTCTTTCTACCCTCCTTTTTCTCTTTATATACCTACCTTGCCTAAAGGACATCTACAAGAATCCATCATCTAGATTATTTTCACCTATTAGCGTTTTTTCCGACACTTCATCTATTTACTGATTTACCTGTAATCTCGCCTGACTTTTCTCTGGAAGATTTTAGTACTAGCCACCAAATATTTTTGTTTCTTTTTCCACACACATAGTAGATTTAGATTTCCCTACTCCATTTACCTCAAGAGGGCCAATAAAATGTGATTGGAAATGACTTGTGTCATTTACAAACAAAAGCTTTAAGATCCTGTAAACATCTCTTTGTTTCTGCCACAGTGATTAAATATTTTAATTATCTATTGTCCCATGACAAAGCACCTTAAATCTTAATGGTTTAAAACAGTCACCAGTTTAGGTTTTGTGGGTTGACTAGGCTCATGGGCAGTTGTCTGATCTTACTTAGGGTCTGTCTTGTGGTTCCAGCCGGGTATTGTCTGGGGCTAGAGTATTTGGAGACTCAGCTGGGTTGCTAGAATGGCTGAGCCTTTCTATTTACCAGAAAGGAGTCTCTGTTCCAAAGATTCCCTGATTCACATTGCGTCTTCAGTAGAGTAGCCTGACTTCTTGCATGGTGGCTTAGGATTCTCAAGTGCAGAAAAGCAAAAACTTCCAGGTTTTATAAGTCTCATGCCTGGAAATGACATATTGTATTGGTAAAAGTGGTCACAGGGGAAGCTCAGTTTTAAGGGGAGAAGAAATAAACACTTTGATAGGGGCGGAGGAAGAGTGACAAAGAATCTGGCCATCTTTATTACAAAAATTTTTGTCAACCACAGAGTTCCAGGAAAATGTGGCCATCTTTATTACTCTAATGATGTTTCAAATTGTGTAGGCTTCTATCAGTCAGGGTCTCAGAGAAAGGAAAAAGTGGAAAAGAGCTCCCAGTTAACACACATAAATATATGAATAAGAAGCACATCTCTGCTATTCTAAGTCACTGAACTATTTGGAGTTGTTTGGTATCAACTTTTGCATACTAACATAAAAACTGGTACTGGAAATAGGGTGGTTTTATAACAAAAATCTAAAATATGAGTCACTGATGTATATAATAATTGTGTTAGAAATATTTGTGGTTGGTTGGTAGGCAGTGTCCAGCTCTGACTTACTTATACATTTCCCAGTGAATCTAGCTCAGAAGTTTGCACCATGATATTCAATAAATAATTCTTAAATAAGAGAGATTGTTGTATTTTTTTTCTATTTTAGGGAATAGAGAATTTTTTTTTCCATATCACACATTTCTTGAAACGTAGAAGGGGTGCCATGAATCTGTTATTTGATGCTCTGTTCCAGTGCCACCAGTGAGTTTCCTGATGTGTAAGTTTGGCTCATGGGCAGCCCACCTTCTTACTTCCCCTTTCTCTCGGGAGCCATCCTGTTCATGGAAAGTGTGTTTTCTCCTCTGCTACCTCATACAAGTTTCATAGGAGTCTGCTCCTGCCAAGGGAGGCTTGGAGTAAGCTGAACAGCATCAGCTCCTTGGGGGAAGGGAAATTTCAGGTTTGGGAGCTAAGTTCACTTCCAGGGAGTGACAAAGCCTGTTGTTTGAACTTTAATTTACAGAGTGAAAGAGTTCAATGTTGGCCATTAATGATTTTGGACTTTAACATGAAGTTGATACTGATTACTTTGGGCCATAATTTAGAAGGACAGAGTGATTTAATCTCTAAACTTTTAATTTCTCTCTGGAAAATTAATATTGAGAGAGGGTCAAAATCAAATTGAAGATATCTTGTTGGTTCTTAAAGTATTTGATCATATTTTAGAAATTCTGATAACGCTGGACAAGCTGACAGGACATAGTTTGAGATGGCAGTAGAACACATTGTGACTTACAGCCTTGGGTACAGAATAGCATTGGAACTGATTTAACTGATATGTTGTTCTGACCCATTCAGAGCGTTTTGGGGACAGAATCTACAGTTTACCAGTGGCCCCAGAATGTCCTACAAAAGAGGTGAAATCAGTATTGGAGAAGTGGTCTTATGAAGATGGGAGCAGGACTACTCCAATTGACTGCCGACTTCTCACCCAATGGAATAACCACATCCCAACCTGATCTCAGTGGATAAGCCCATAGGGTTAAGGTAATGGTTTTCATACTCTTGCTGACACACCCTGAAATAGTTTTTAAGTTGACATGTAAAATATTTTGACCTGAGTTGCAAAACATGTAATTTTTTATGTAATATAAATGTAAATATTTTAAAATAGTGTTATGCCACTTAAAATGCAATCTAAATGAGATCTAAATCCATACAAAAGGAATACTCACCATCATTTATTTTCACAGAAATTTTACATTATACCTTTTCCTATTTGAATTTATATTTTCATTCTACTTCCCTAACAGAATTTTAATATATTTTGTGCCCAAATGTATTTTATTGCTTACTCTATTATTCTTTCCACAATAAAAAGTTGTTTATAGTCTGGGTACAGCGGCTCACGCCTGTAATCCCAGCACTTTGGGAGGCCAAGGTGGGTGGATAACCTGAGGTCAGGAGTTCAAGACCAGCCTGACCAACATTGTGAAACTCCGTCTCTACTAATAATACAAAAATTAGCTGGACATGGTGGTGCATGCCTGTAATCCCAGCTACTCGGGAGGCTGAGGCAGGAGTATTGCTTGAATCTGGGAAACAGGTTGCAGTGAGCTGAAATCATGCCATTGCACTCCAGCCTGGGTGACAAGAGTGAGACTTTGTCTCAAAAAAAAAAAAAAAGTTAATAATTAAAAAAAATTCCTTATAACTATAAGGTTCTAAGCGTCAAAAATTTCGTTTGAATTATCATTGCATTTATTGTTAGTACATAATGATCATACCTACATTATAAATTTTTACAAATAATTACTAAAGAGAACTAAAGTTTTACTGGAAGTATAGCTCTTAACGAAGTGAATGGAGTGTGCTTCTCCTCAATTAGTTCATGTATTTATAGGTAAATGTAACTTTTTGCTAGGCAACAAAATGGGAAAATATGTTGGGAGATAATTAGGTGCAGGGCTTACAAAGGCGAATAAATGATTTCTGTTAAATGTGTTATTTATAATAGAAAACAATATATGTAATAAATCTAAGTCTATAACATAAATTGTAGGAATGAATAATGAGGTGAGAAATGTTTAACAAATAACACTGAGCAGACATATTTGGGTAAAAAAATGAATATAGATTTACTGTGTTCAATAATCTTTTGGCAAAAAGTAATTAGAATATTTTCTCCTAAGGTCTGAATATCTGTTCAAGAAAATAAGAATCATTAACTTTTTAGTTATATATGTTCCTTTTTCATGTAACATTGATCTGTTGAAAGGAAATTTGGAATTTTTTTATATCCTTTTCCTTGAAATCATTTGGAATGTGCAACTGAGACACAGGAGAAGGAGATTTTGCATCAAGTGCTCTCATTACAGAGCAGGTGTACCTTATAGCTAATTGGTATTTCCCAGAATGATTTTCACAAATCTTGCATATCCTAATTCCGGGATGTATATGTGGAGCATGTAACCTGGCTCTGAGTTTGTTATCTGGATGAAATAGGGTACAACCTCCTTTAGTATTTTTCTTTGCTCTCTCAGCCACATTCTTTGACATCATCAGGAAATGGAAGAGGAAATGTCATTAGACAAAAATTAGCACAACCCCTGCCTTTGCCCCAGTGTGTCTACACTCAGAACACGTCAACACAGACCAAAATACCCAATTTCTAGCACCATGCTTTTCTCTTAACAGAAATATAGATAAGGAAAGTCAGGGAATCCTCATGTAGGTTTATTATACCCTTATTCAATCAAATATTGATTTCAAGACAGTATTTCGAAGTGTTCCTTTGTATAATGCCTTAGAATTTTTTTTGTACGCCAGAGCAATTTGGTATAGAAGGATCTGGGATGGGTAAGAAGATGCCTGTCTTTTATAAGTGTGAAAAAATGATTTTTTAAAATTTGTCACTGACTTGAAGCTTAAAAAATGATTTTTAAAGGGAGTTGTAAAAATAGAATTGATGTGACATCTCAACCTCAGTTATGTTTCAGGCAGCTCAATTTTGGGAAAGAATAGGGGAAAGTTCAATAAATGGAATAGATTTCCTTAAAATTTTCTATGCTTGTATTCTCCTCAGAAAGTACTCATGGAATCCCAGGGTAGACGTGCGCCAGTTTGAAGACTTCTAAGTTAAGAGAATAAAATTGAGTGGGGAAATGTGATACAGTTACAGGGTTTCCTGTTAACACTCCTGGCCTCTTGGGTCACCCCTTCCTCTTCTCTATGAAGTAAGATACTTGATGGTGAGAAGCTCTGTGAGAAACCTTGGCCCCTTTCGCCAGTCTTACTCTTGGGCCAGGCTTCTCTCAGGAATCATGCCTTCTGGCCTATTTCTTCGTGCTGTAGATTTTGCAGGGATGGACCTATGTAGTGAGGGGAGGGGAGGATTGCAGTTGCCCTGCACTGCCAGCCAGCACCTCAGTGTAAGCCTGCCTCACTCATCCCACAGTTTGATGTTGGGAGGCCCCTTGTTACCACACAGTCTCCAGCATCAGCTGTATCAGTAGGTGTGGTAGTTTTTAGCTGTCTAGTCTTTTGTGTTAGATTGAATTATGTACAAGTCTATGAAACATATACAAAATATTGACTAGCTTTACTTTGTTATGATTACTGAGTGAAAGTTCTCCAGTAGAACAACTGACATTTTGCAGCATGCAGGTGCAGGAATTTCTGATATGAAGAAGCGAAAGATCATAACTTTGATTCTTTATTTTCTCTTCTCTCCAATATCCAATCCAGTCTCTCAGCTGGCTTATACCTTGGTGGGAAAGAGGAGTGTGGTTTATTCCCAAGCCCTAAATACTGTCAGTCCTTAACAGTACTGTGCGTATTAACACAATAAATACTGTGAATTTTCCTAAGTTCTTTTTGGCCGTGAGGATATGTTCAATTCTACTTTTCCCCTCTAATAATATTTCGTATACATTTTATAGATTTGTACATAGTAATAAGTGTATTTTCAAAATGTTATTTTCTAAGAGCCTATTACTGGGCAATATATATAAAGCATGGAAAGAATTAAGTTCAGGAGATAGAAAATTGCTCTACAGCCTTAAACATTTAGTTCTTTGAGATTCACTATTGCTAGAGTTTCACAGAAGATGAATGAACACATTAAGGGTTGATTCTAAGGAAGTCACTTGCCATTCTGTTTCTTCCTGTGCTGTAAGTGACCTGGCTTGCTAAGCCTTGGTTTAACATTAATAAAACAATGATATGAAACACAGCCATCATATGAGAAAATAAGACTAAAAAGCAAAATAAACAAGTGATTACTGTGATAGAAGCTCTGCGCCTATAGATCTCTAATAGTTCACAGAAATGGTGCTTATTAAAGGGGGTTCAAATCAATGTTGTTTTATAAGTGCTTGAGTCTTTTGAAAACGAGCTGCTTTTCAGATTGCAAAAAAACAAAAAACCTCAGAAGCTAAAAGCCTTACTTTAATGCAAAATAAACTGCTTTTGAATCCTCTATAATAAATTGGCACACATAATTCGAGTATTGTGATGCAGAAGCAGAAATTTTGACTAGCTTTACATTGTGGTTACTGAATGAAAGATCTCCAGTAGAACAACTGACTTTTAGCAGCTTGCAGGTATAGAAATTTCTGATGAAACCAAGAGATCAAAACTTTGATTCTTCTTTTTCTCTTCTTTTCAATATCTAATCTATCAAGTTCCATTGGCACTCCAAGATATTATCCCAAATCTGACTGACCACCTACCATGTCTACAGCTACTATCCTTAGTGCAAGCCATCAGCAGCTCTCATCTGAACCATGACAACAGCTTCTTGATTGGCGTCTTGGTTTCCACTCTTGCCTTCTCAGAATTCATTCTCTGTTATTAGCCATTTAACAATATAAATCAGACTCTATCACTTCCCTTCCTGTATTTCACTGATATCTTTGGCTTGCAATTAAAATAAAATCCAACTCCTTATCATGGCCTATATGATTTATTCTATACCTTCCCTTTGATTGCTCTCAAATCACCTTCCTTACTCATTATGATCCAGTCATACTGATTTTCTATCTTTGCTTGAATACTCCACCCTCATTCCTACCTTAGAGATTTTGCATTTGCTCTTCCTTCTAGGTCTGGAATTCTCTACCCCATTTATCATGGCTGACTTGTTCTCTTCACTCAAGTCTCAGCTCAAATATCCTCTCCTTTGAGAAGTCTTATCCTGACCACCTGTTTAAAGGGCTCTCATCTTCTCTCCTCCAACTTTAATTCTTCTCTATCCTGCTTAATTTTCTTCATACCATTTAGCACTACCTGAAATTATCTTATTTTTTACATGTTTATTGTCTGTCAGCCCCTAGTAGAGTGTGATTTCATGGTGGTAGAGCTTGTCTGTCTTGTTTACTGCTCTATCCTCAAAGCTTAGAACAAATGTTGGCATTTGGTGGGGATTACTAAATATTTGCTGAATAAATCAAGGTCCTGATGTACCCAGAAAAGGCCTTTCAAGGGGTTTTTATTATACAAATTTTTCATTGCTTAGAGTTGTGACCCTTCGTTTTGAATGCTAAGAAATCTGCTTTTGCCAGCACGTGGAAATTTTTTTTCTCCAGGAAAGAACTTTTGTGAACTGAGTTATAAGATTGACATATAAAATCCCTATGCCAATTTATTAGTTTCTAGTGAGCAATATAACTGTCACATGGACTCAGGCTTGCACTGACATGATGTGTTGAAAAATTTCTGCCTATGGGCTGACATATATAGGACAGTGAATTAAATCAGAAAGTTTTTTGAAAAACATTGAATTCTAGAAAGGGAAATTAGATAGCTCATATATTTAAAAGCATTCATTTATTTCACAAATATTTCAAGATGTCTGTCTTCTATGTTCTGTGCTAGGTATTGAGGAGTCAACAGGGAATCATATCAAGTACTGGTCCTTAAAGATTTGGAGTCTAGGGTGAGGCTGGCTGACAATTATAATTCAATTTATAAAACAATTTTTTAAGGGTAATTTTAGGGTGATATGGGAGAATCTAGATGGGGAACTGAGCCTTGGGGGACTGAAGTGAGCTCTGAGGAGTTAGTGCGCAGCATTAGGAGGAAGGACACTGTGTGCAGAAGCTGGACCAGAACAGAGGTCTGGACCCGGAGAGGGCAGAATTTTCTAAGAAACACAGGTAGCTGAGCGTGGCGGCAGTGAAGAGCTGGAAGGTGAGGTGAGAAGGCTGCAGATAAGGCTCATGGACTTTATCCCTATGCAGAGTAAAGAGGAGCCACTGAAAGTTTTGTTTCAACAGAGAGGTGGAATCTGTTTTTCAGGTTGCCAGAGCACAGCTGATACTTTCCATTCCATCCTAAGAACTTTCCCCGAATATCTGGCTAAGATCTATGCTCTTTTCCTTGAACACATGACCCTTCCTTTATACATACTCTCCAGCCTTATATCCTACTGCTGTGCATCACATGCTCTATGCTCCAGATGCACCAAACTTCTCAGTTTCCAGATTCACTCCCTGTCTTTAATTATGCCTTTGTGTCCCCTGCACTTGTGAAGCATGCTCATCTACCCCACTTCCAAAAAATGTTTCTGAATAATTTTTCCCAAAGACAAAAGTAAGACATGTTCTTTGTAACAAGCTGAGGAACACAGAGATGTGGAAAAAAAAGTTAAAACTTTCTCCTTTCCTCTCACCACCAATGCTGCACACATACACATACAGAGTCCACTGTATAAAACAATTTTTTTAAAACCTAAATAGATTCATGCCATTTTGTGCTGTCTCTCCATCTCTCAACAAATCTCCTGGACATCACTAGCACCTGCTGGATGCCAGACCCTGTGCTTCACCTCATTTACCCTACAACTAGCATGGCACTATTGTCCCCAGTGGGTAGACAAGGAACTGACATGTGATGAGTTTGCCCAAAGTTGCACAACTAGTGATTGTGGGAGCAGCAACTTGAACTTGGGCAATCTGGCTTTTGAGTCCAAAGTGGTACCACTGCCTTTTACTATCTCCCAAATTAGTGCTATTTTTGTTCTTTTTAATAACGTCACAATATTCATATGGATGTCTGGAATTTATTCACTTATTTATCTTGTTGATGATGTCGAGGTTGTTTTTTGCCACTGCATAAAATGCCTCAATATGCAGTTCTCCAAAGTGGGATTTGAGATCAAAGAACATACTTATTTTTATTAGGCATGGCCAAATTATATTCCAAGGATTATGTAACCCAAGCAACATAGAGCTGTGTCTGTTTCCTTATATTCCTACCAGCCCTGGGTGATGCTGATCCTTTTTTTTTTTTTTCCTGGCCGTATGATTAGTAAAAGCAATACATCTCTATTTTGATTTGCATGTTTTCTGACTACAGGTGAGGTTGCGAATTTTTCTGCATGTTTTTGGGATGTTTGCATGTCCTGTTTCATGATTTGCCTATTAATTTCCTCTCCTGTCTATTTTTTCTGTTGGGTTGTTTGTCCTTGATCATTTTTGGGGGTGGATGTGGTATGTGTGTATGTGGAGGGATGCTTATAATATAATCAATAATATTAACCCTTTTTCTGACATAGTTTCAAGTATTTTCTCCTTGTCTATATTCATTCAGCTTTTGAATTTGTTATGCAATCTTTTACCTTATAGAAGTGTTTGCTTTTTATGTGGTCAAACTGGTTAGTCTTTTCCTTTTGGCTTTCCTTGAATTCACAGGTGTTAGGTATCTCTGTTTATTAAGGATTGGGATACTTGGCCAAGACTCTCCCTGGAGGTGCTTGATTAGCTTTGATAACTTATGTCTCAGACTCTTTTATCTTTGTTTCTACCTCCTAACTCATTCTGAGAGATCTTCTTTCTTGGAATTTGTTATCACATTCAACTAGACTAAAGCAAAGCCTGTCTGGCCTGGGAGTCATTTGTCATTGTAAAAGTGTATTTGTGTGTCTTTTCTCTGAGTCACTGTGTTTTAATTTTCTGTTTCTCTCTCCTTGTTTTAAGGAGTAATAATCATGCTCCTTCTATTTTGTTTTTGAGCTATCTTCAGCCTTTGAGTCCTTAAATTTTTGGAGATAGTTGAGAAGGAATGCCGTTTATACAAGGCCTATGGATAGTGATGATGATTGGTTTTGAGGCTGTGGATTGAGAGTGAGCTCATCTCTGTCTTTGATTATAACTGTATAATCCTGGGAAGTTGTAATAGGCCTCTGGGCCCTTTTCCATAAAATAATAATACTGCTCTGAAGCTACTTTTCGACAGTGCAGAAGAGGACTCTAAAAGTTAATTTAGATGTTTCATCCTTTTTGGTCACATTTCAAGAATATTTTAATTTCAAGACTTGTGCTCAAGCCTTCACAAATTACCTTGGTACCCCTCTTTTCATTCACTGTCAGCCCATAAAAGAAGGATAAAATTTGTTTGCCTTAATGACTGATATATTTTATAGAGTCTCTGGAATGAACTGCCAGTTTCATTATTGAGAAGAGAAATATTTCAGCTCTTAGTGGAAGTTAAATTTGGGGTCATTTTACACAAACCATGGCTTTGGTCCAAGGAACTGAGATAGATCATGTGAGTTGGGAGTGGACAAGGGAAAGAGTCTGGCCTGCATTTTGGTAGACTTTTATAAACTTAAATCTTTATGTTTAATTAAGAAATAATAATTGTATATATTTTTGGAGTACAATATATATGCATTATGGCATGATTATACCAAGTGAATTAACCTATACCTAACGTCACATACTTACCATTGTTTTCTATTGAGAACATTTGAAATCTATTCTTTTGACAAATTTGAAATATAAAATACATTGCTATGACTATGGTTAATAATACATAGTAATAATGCTCTTGTATAATAAATTTAAAAAATTTTTCCTCTTGTCTAACCTTGTATATCTTTTGTCCAACATCTCCTCAACCACTCCCTAGACTCCCTGCCTCTGGTAACCACCATTCTACCCTCTACTT